GCGCGGGGGCGCCCGTCCGGATCGAGGCGCGGCGGGCGACGGGGGTGTATGCGTGCATCGAGGGTGGGTGGCGGGGCGGGAGTGAGGAGAGAGTACAGGTCGCGGAAGGGGGCGGGATGACGCGGACGTGGGCGCGGTGTCAAGATGGCACAGCGGGGCACAGATGTCGGAGCGCCGCGGCGGATGATCCTTGCGTGAGCGGGCGGGCGGGCGGGCGGGCGGGCGGTGAGGCAGGGGGCGGGCGGTTTACCCGGGCCGGTGTGGTGACGAGGTGAGGCGAAGGTGAGCGTGGAGGCAGCTCGGCAAGAGTGATCAGGACGGGACGGCTGACGTGTTGACATGTGACGTCAGGAGCGCCAGCAACAAGTGCTCTCTATGCGCCGCCGACCGATCCGCGGGGGGCCGTTGTTCCTACAGTACAGTAAAGGGTACAGTATTTCTGCTCTCCTGTCATTGTAAGCCCACGTGTTGCACGTGTCCGACAAGTCCACGACTCTGACGTGTGCACGGGTACACGTGTGGGAATGGCCGAAAAAACGAAAAGCGCCCGAAACTATTTCGGAAAAGCAGAAACGTTTTCGATTGGCATTTCCGTAAAAAACGAAAAGCGGCCGAAAATATTTCGGAAAAGCAGAAACGTTTTCGATTGGCGTTTCCGTCCACGGCGCCGGTCCGCGTGCACTGCCGGACACGTGTCTGCGCCTCCCTCCTCTGCGCCAGATCGGCCGAGTGGCAACCACTGCCAAAAATATCTCCCCCCGCCCTCCCGATCTTACACTTGCGCAAGTCTTGCCCTCCACCTCGCTCTCCTTTCTTCCTCCTCCTCCTTCCCGCGCGCCACTCCCAGCACTGTGCTGCGATCTACCATGCAAGCATTCATCCCTGCCGCCCCGCTCTCGCACGCGCGCTCCGCGGCGCTGCCGGCGCTGCCGGCGCGGCGCTCGCCCGCGCTCCCTTGGCGCACGCGCGGCCACCGCGCGCGCCGCAACCGGGCGCGCGTGACGGCCGCGCTGCGCGGGTCGCAGGGCAACCCGTACCGCATCGCGGTGCTGCCGGGCGACGGGTTTGGGCCGTCGACGGCGGCGGCGGCGGTCAAGGTGCTGGACGAGCTCACGTCGGCCGCGGACATGCACTTCACGTACACGTACGCGGCGTACGGCGCGCCGGCGTTCGAGGAGTCCGGGGTGCTGGTGCCGGAGGCGACGCTGGAGGTGTGCCGCGCGAGCGACGCCGTGCTGCGGTCGTACCAGGGCATGGAGCGCGGCGTGGCCAAGGACGGGTCTGCGCACCTGCAGCTGCGCGACCGGCTGGGGCTGTTTGCGCAGTTCCGCCCCGTGGTGGTGTACCCGCAGCTGGCCGCGGCGTCGTCGCTGCGCGAGGAGATCGTGCGCGACATCGACATCATGCTGGTGCGCGAGGTGTCGGCCGGGGCGCTCGGGGCCGACAGCATCGCGGTCGGCGGCGACCAGGCAAGGTCCGAGATCGCGTACACGGCGGACCAGGTGTGCGCGATCGCGGACGCGGCGCTGAAGGTGGCCGAGCGGCGG